ATCCCTAAGAACAGTAGTTGCCTGAACTAATTATTTGAATGCAGTTCCAATGAGTTGTCAAGAACGAAAGGTAGCTGGGTTCAGTTGACCTTTTATTTTTGTGAATCCTCACCTAAGGATATTTTTTCCATTGCTTTTTCAGAGTGTGGAAGGAAGGGAGGGAGGGAGAGAGAGACAGAGACAGACACATCGCCTGGTTGCCTCCTGCATGTGCCCAACTGGAGGTAGGGGTAGGGGTTGGGGGATGGGGACAAACTCGAAGCCTAGGTACCTGCTCTTGACTGGGGATCGAACCCTCGACCCTTCAGTGCACGGCCCCATGATCTAACCAGTGAGCACCATTGGCCATGGCTGGCTTTACCAAAGGGTTAGAGTTCTGCTGTACCCTTACCTTTGAGTCTCCAGGCAATCCAAGCTACAGTAGAGGAAGCAAAGCTGGAAAACTGCCTCCAAAGCAAGTGAGTTTCATCCCAAATCGGACCCTTTAACCCTACCCATCAAACTTCCACTCCTGAGACTCCAGGTTTATTTGCTGAATGTGTGCTTCTTAGAGAAAGGTGTTTAATCAAAACAAATTCCATCAGGAGAATCTTTAGAAAACCAAGACGGTAGCGTAAGTCCTTAACATTAGCATACCTCTTCTCAGCCTCCATTCCTTCCAGACACGAGTATTAATTAAGGCTTCAACTAGAGTCTCTTTGACTCAATCTTCAGAGTAAACCTTGTACCTGGTTCTGCTACAGTTGTCCCTTATTAAGAACATGTGCTCTCTATGTGACTTAATGGGGAAGAAAAGAACACATCTGACTGACGACACATCACACGTTTCTTTCTATGCACAACTGCTATGGAACCTGTAAGACAGTGGCAGTCCCCTGGCATCCCGTTACTCCTCACACAGAAGAACACATCAGTCATACCTTTTATTTTTATTAGGGCAAGTGTGTATATTTTCTGTAACTTATTTCACTTGCAAGCAGGACTGGTGGTGTGTCTTCCTCTCTCTGTCTCTATGCGGGCCGCTCCCGGGGCCTGGTCACAATATGCCACCACAGTGGGGGCAAATCACCTTCCTTTCGGGCAGGGGGCAAAGCTTCAGTGATGGGACCACCAACTGGGGTTTCCGCCTGCAGCTGCTTAACCTGGAAGGGGTCAAGGAGGGACAAGTTAGAAAAGGAGCTGAACGGATGGTCCCGGCTGTACAGTTAGTGTCACCTTTGTTCCTGCTGTCACATCACATGCTAGCTGATCCTCACTACTGAAGTGTTTGTTCATACCTGCATTATTTGATCCCACACTTGAACTCAGAAAAGATGTCCTCAAAGCTTTTCCCGTTCTTAAAAAAGCAAAGTTGAGAAAAACTCTCCCGCCCACCTTATTCATTAACCCAAACCATGACCACTACTACTCCAATTCCCCTGGTTATGGTCTCCCCACCTAAACTCTCCCCCAACAAAAATGGATTTTTGTGTCTCAGCTAAGTGTTCTCCAAAAGCACTAGTAAGAAATCTCAAAAAAAGAAATCTCAATTCATGTATATTAGGGATGTTAACTTTAAAGCCCCTCTCCCCCAACAGCAACCAGGACAAGAAGCAACACACAATCACATGAAAAATATGCCGTTATGCCTGATATTGACCAACTACCCCAGTTCAGGGATCTCCAAGACGATCACGGCCCTCACAGAGGGGGAAACACAGAGACCCACTTTCCAGATCAGTGACTTTATGAAGCTCCTCCAGAAAAATCCATCCTGGAATGTGGTTAACCTGAGCCTCCAGCACATGTGCTGTTTAACAATGTGGCAGAGACAACAGCAAGAGGAGGAAGGTTTGTGCGGGGGAGAGGGGTTACAGTGATCACCTGCAGTGTGCACCTCCTGCTCTCCCTGAATCACCGCACCTCCAGTCCCCAATGCAGAGACAGGCCTCCGTGCATGCTCGGGGTCCCACGCCTCTTCTCGAAACTCCCTCCACCTTTCCATCCCTCATCAGCATTAACAACTTCTCCCTCCTTCCAAATTACGCACCATCAGTTCTCATCTTAGAAAATAATCCCTTGGTCTCGTTACTATTCTCAGCAGAACTTCTCAAGAATCCCCTCTCCCTCCTGTCTTCTCTTCCTCACTCTGCTCACTACTGTCAGGTGACTAAACCCTCCAGAAAAGGCTCCGGTCACGCCCACTAATGCCCTTCCTGCAGCCAAACTCTGCACATTATTCCCAGTCCTCACTCTGTTTCACCTTTTGGCAACTTTCAGCAGAGAGGACGTGGCCTGGCCATTCCTGAAACACTTTCTCCGGGACCCGCGGCACACCCTCCGGGCTGTCCCTCCCTTGCCGGGCGCTCCTCGGTCTCCTTTTCCTGACCTTGACCAGTGGAGCTCCTGCCACTTTTATTTTTCTAGTCTCCCGTCAAGACTCATCTACTTCCCTGATGTTGAAAACAACTGTTAGCTCACAAGTGTCTTTCAAGCTCCTTTGACATCCAGATTCCCACATCCAGTCACCTTCTGACATCTGCACGTAATGTCTTAGGATTCTTAAATTTAACACACTTATAACTGAGCATTAGAATGCCCCGACACCCCACCTTTCCTATCTCAATAAACACCATCAGCAAACTCCAGATGTTAAAGCTTATAACCTGGAAACCATTCTTGATCCTCACTCTCCCTCACTCCCCCACATCCAATCTATCTCTATATCCCTCCAACTATCTCCTGAATCTACTTCCCTCCACATTCATTGCACGCACCTTAGTGCTGGCTGCCATAATCTTTTGAATAAACTGCAATAACCTCAAAGTGGTCTCTCCACTCGTCACCTTACCCTCTCCAATGTATCTTTCACACTACAGCAAGATTAAGCTTTGAAAAATGTGAAGCAGACATGAACAGGGTCCAAGGCACTGCTGGGGAGTAAGGTTAAGGGATAACAGGGCATAGCAAGAAGGAAAGGCAAAGGACTGAGGAGGAGGAGAAGGGGAAAAGCAAAATTAGAGACCAGAAAACCCAGAAGGAAACAGTGTAACCAATTTGGAAGATGGGTGTAAGCGTCCCATGTAACTGAGAAATGTATATCTAAGAAGCAAGGGGCCAGAGTAACTGTCATAAATGGACTCCAGACCTCCTCAGTGGGACAAAACCTGAGCTCCTTCCAGGTGCTGACCCCGTGGGCTAAGCCACCCCGTAAAACGCAGGTAAGACTCACCTCTCGCTCCCAGCTTTCCCTCCGCAGTTTCTTCCATTGCTCTCTCTTGGCAAAGTAATCAGGATACATTGCCTTCTCAGAAGGATGCCAGTCATCTAAGCACCACTCAGGAACCTGTCAGGAGAGGAAATCATGGCGTCAGTACACAAGATACATCTACATGCCGCTGACAGGTCCTGCACAACAGACAAACTCCAGGTGCATTTTTATTCCACTGCAAGTGTCAGACGGTTTGACACCAAGCAAGCAATGAGCAGCAGAAGATAAGCAGGAAGAATGCCTTTGAGTAAAACAGCCTGGGGTTGAAAAACAGCACGGCCCGTTCAGAAAGAACTGGCATCACCCCTTCTCTACCTGTGCCTCCTAAACATCCAGTGGGTTTATGTTCTTTGGAAGTATTATCTAGAATTTCTTAGAAATTCTAAACACCAATCCAGACTGGTTCACCTTAAGGTCCGAAAATGGGTTATTTACCAAGTAATTTAGCATTCTGCTTTGCCAAAAGGATACCACCAGCTGAATTTGGGAAAGAAAAGTCTTAATGTCACCTGGAAGGAAATCTAGCTGCCCCGACAAGGGTAACTCTGGAACGGGAGGAGCCAGCCACAGGCTGGCCGCACCCACCTTGTAACACTCGTATCTCTCGTAGGAGGTGCCCCCAGGAGAGTCGGGGAAGATGTATGGCTGAGGATGCTGGTTGTGCCAGAACTCTTCCTCCGCCTCCCTCAGCAGCCGGGTGGCCTTCACCATGTCCTTTTCATTCTTATGTTCGTCAAACCGAGCTCTCATCAAACAAGCGAAGTACCGGTATTTGTCCCTTAAACCAAAAGGATGTGGGGGGATTAGAAATGTTATCTCCTCGCCCAGACCTTTTCCAGTGTTTTGAGGTTTTCCCCAGAAGTTCTCCTCCTGGGATGAGGTTTCCGGATTCTGATAAGGGAGTGGAGGCACATTTGGGTTGTCACCTCACCTTGTACTGCGCCTGGGCCACGAAAATAATCTATGTCTCAAGACTATGCTCTAAGGCTAGTCTCGGGGGGAGGTGAAGCGTATGGGGTAGTAAAGGGCTGGAGGAAGCTACAAGGAGGAAGCTCACGGGAAGCTGGGAGGATGAGATGCTTGGACTCGGGCACCTGAGCTGTAATCCTGGCCGGGCCACTTACCAGCTATAATACTTGGAGCAAGTTACTCTGTCTCTAGTTCCTCACCTGCAAAGTAAGGCTAAATAGTCCCTAACTCTCAGCGTTGCTGTGAAGACCTAAGAAAGTCATGCACATAACAGTATGAAGAATGCACATATTAATATCAGGAACGAGGCCGTACAGACGGCTATTGTTCAGCGAGCGCTGGAGGCCTAACTGCAGCTTTAGGCACCGGGCCGCATGCGACCCTCCCTGCCGAGTGCTGCGTTCTTAGCAGAAAGCCGAGGCCCGGGCCAGAGAGCAGCTCTCCCAGGTCTCGCAGCCCAGGGGCGACGATGCGGGGCCTCGAACCCGGGTCTGCGGGGCCGAGGGGACGCCTTCCCCCTCCGTCCCCGAAGTCCTTGAGACGTCGGCTCCCAGGGGACTCGCGGCCTCCGTCGGCCTCCCCGGAGTCACCCCCGCGCGCCGGGCCCTCGCCCACCTGTGGACGCAGAAGGACTCCAGGTGGCGCAGCGCCCGCTTGTAAAGCCGCAGCACCTTCTGCTGGTGCGTCAGGTAGGCCGCCGGCGCCGAGAACGCCATGACGGCCGCTCACCTTCAGCGGCCGCGGGGGCTGCCGGGAAACGGAAGCCCGGCGGCTAGGGGACGGGGAGGCCGGAAGGGCGGGGCGACCGCGGCCACTTCCGCTTCCGCCAAGGAGAGCCCGGCGCCGCGGTCATGAGTCGCTACAAGTTCGTGGGTAAGAAACTGATTTTCCGGGCCTTGGGCTCTTTGCCCCCGGGCGCCGCTCGCCGCGGCCACAGGCGCAGCATGAGCTCTGGCTTTTCTGAAGGTGCCAGGGCGCCCGAGGCCCCTGGGCGCCGGTCCTGCCCGCTTCTCGGCGTAGGTGCTGCCTTCAAGGTGTGCTTGTTTGTGAAAGTTCTCGCGTGGCGCCGTTAGGATTTGTGCTCCTTATAACGTGTGTGTAATCAATAAAAAGAAAAAAGGAAGCACAACTACTGAAAAACCAAAGAGGCGAGTCACTATAGTCTCCCCCTTCACACGTGCACCTCCCGCCACTTCCCCGCTCCGTGGCTGCAGGAACCCGAGGGGTAAGAATATTTACTGCCCGGCACTTAGGAGACCCTGCGGGGCCCGGCGGGAGCGAGGAGACCCTGCGGGGCCCGGCGGGAGCGAGGAGACCCTGCGGGGCCCGGCGGGAGCGAGGATTGGGACTCCAGTGTCTTGCGGAGCTTAGTTTTCCTGTGTATAGAGAGGAGCTTCTTGGCTGGTTGTCTTGTGGATTTGTCTATTTCAGCGGTTCTCAACCTGTGGGTCGCGACCCCTTTGGGGGGTCGAACGACCCTTTCACAGGGGTCGCCTAGACCATCTGAAAACATATAATTACATATTGTTTTTGTGATTAATCCCTATGCTTTAATTATGTTCAATTGGTAACAATGAAAATACATCCTGCATATCAGATATTTACATTACGATTCATAACAGTAGCAAAATTACAGTTATAAAGTAGCAACGAAAATAATTTGATGGTTGGGGGTCACCACAACATGAGGAACTGTATTAAAGGGTCGCGGCATTAGGAAGGTTGAGAACCACTGGTCTCTGGTATGTGGTGGTGTCTGGCTTGTTCTCTACTGTTCTGTATTTTCTGTGAGCGTGAAGTTCTATCTAAAGGCAAAGCAAGTCTAAAACAATTTTAAAATGCCCCATTTGCTGTCCCTGTCTATCCCTAGATTGTAGGTGACAGTGATAAGACATGATTCACTGAGCCTACACAGTGAGGAAATGTGGTTTTCTTTGGGCTGCAAACTTTTTTTTTTTCACTCTTTGTGTTGAGGAATAAAACTCATTAATGCTGGGAGTAATTTTTAACAGTAAAGCTGGTACTGCTTTTAAAGCTAGCTAAAGAAAGAAAGAAATGGAAAAGAAACATGACTGATCCGTATAAGGGGACATGCTACTAAACATGAGTCCCTCAATTGCCCTCCCTCCCAAAATCACAAGTAGTCCTTTTTCACTTTGCCTTTATTAAATTCTGGTCATTCTGTCTCAGTTCTATCTCTCACTTAGTTTTTCAAGATGTTTATTGTCTTTGGCTGGAGCTGGATAGAAATTGATTTTCATACAGTATTTCTTTTTAAAATATATTTTATTGATTTTTTACAGAGCGAAAGGGAGTTAGATAGAAACATCGATCAGCTGCCTCCTGCACACCCCCCACTGGGGATGTGCCTGCAACCAAGGTACATGCCCTTGACCAGAATCGAACCTGGGACCTTTCAGTCCACAGGCCGACGCTCTATCCACTGAGCCAAACCAGTTAGGGCCATACAGTATTTCTTTACTTTTTTTTAGTTTATCAATACCAGACATACTTCTGATAAGAACTTTTCAATTTAAAAGATTCTGACCAAGTTAAATAGCATTTTGACTGTTTCCCCCCCCCGCCCCCCCCCATTGAGTCTGAGTATAAACAGATTGACTTACATCTGGCTGCTTAATGATGCAGTCTTGGATTGGGAGGTTAATCACTTAGGGTGGGATGACAGTGCAGGCATCAACCTATCGGGTATTGTGGGTTCGGTTTCAGACCACCACAGTGAAGCGAGTCAATCACTTTCTGGTGGAGGGTCTTGCCTTCCATTTGTAAAACACACAACATCTGTGACGTGCAATAAAATGAGGTATGCCTGAATAGGTAATGTTGACCAAAATTCCATTTGTGGTTGGCGTGTTACAGAATCTGGACTGCACTCAGTAATAATAATAATAACAGTTACGTTTTATAACTCTTTCAGTTTGTAAAATGCTTTCAGGGTCATTTTCCAGTTTGAGCCTCAGTTCATCCTGCCTCCCTTATGAGTGCGGAAACAGGCCCAGAGGCCTGCTGATTTACCCACAGTCGTTCGCTAATTAGTCTTGATGCCAGAATTCCGACTCCACAGCCCATTCTGTCCGAACTGCAGTTCCTGCTTGTATTTTATTTCTTGGGACGTGCTTGGAGATTGAATACTTTTAGAGGATAATTTTGAACATTCTGTGGTTCCCTTTATATTGACTTGTTAATTATTTTTATTTATTGATTTTATTGTTTTAAATAATTTTTATTGCCCTGCCGGTGTGGCTCAGTGTTTGGGTGTCGACCTCTAATTCAATTCCCAGTCAGAACACATGCCCAGGTTGTGGGCTCGATCCCCAGTAGGGGGTGTGTGGGAGGCAGCCAGCCAGTGATTCTCTCTTCTCCCTTCCTCTCTGAAATCAATAAAAATATGTTTAATAAATAAACAAATAATATATTTTTAGAGATCAAAGGAGAGGGGGAGAGAGGAACATCACTGTGAGAGCCAAACATTGATCAGCTGCTTCCTGCATGCCCGCAACCTGAGCATGTCCCCTGCCTGGGAATCGAACTGGCAACCAACTGAGCCACACCGGCCAGGGCTTTAGTTATTGAATGATTTTAGATCCAAAGAGGAAGGGGGAGAGAGAGAGAGGGAAGGTATGGATTTGTCGCTCCACTTATTTATGCTTTCATTGGTTGATTCTTGTATGTGCCCTGACGTGGGATCAAACCCGCAACCTTGGTGAATTGGGAGGATGCTCTAACAACTGAGCTACCTGGCCAGGGCGACTTGTTAATTATCTGAATCACCTGCAGGTGTTTGCTTGCTGGTGAATAAGGTGAGTAGTGGGTGGGGAGTGGGAGGCACAGAGGCCATCCAATATCCAGGAGAACTTCTTACAGGAAACAGAAGTGAATCAGAGTCCAGAAAAAGAAGGCATTTGCCTCTGTAGGGGAGGAAAAACGTCCTTCTGCCCTCTTAGGTTCAGTGGCTGGCCCTAAGAATTAAACAGACATAAGACAGATTCATAGGAGAAAACATACAAATTTTATTTTTTCGTGTGTATGGGAGTCTTCAAATGGAAAATGAAGACTCAAAGAAGCTGTTAGGCCCAAAAGCTTCAGTGAGGATGTGGTGAGACAGAGGGACTGAAATTGTAGAACAGTGACCAGGAAATATAAGGGGAAGCTAATAGAAGATAAGGGTTATTTTGGGTTTGTTTGTATAGATACATTATGACTTTGACTTTCAGTCTCTGGTGGTAAGAATGTCCTCTGCCTGGTATAGGAAGGGCACCTTTTTTATGGGAAATTTTATGACCTTTTAGCTGGAAAGGGGGAGATGAGAGAAACTTTCCCGCACCTGCTACTTCTCAAGTGCCTTCAGCTCAAAGAACCCAATATGCCAAAGCTGCATATTTTGGGGTGGCATGTTTTGAACGCATTCATCAAACTTAACTAAGGTAATGGAGCCTATTCATCAAAGTATAGAAAGCAGCTCTAATTACAGGCTGAGGAATACACCTCAGACAAACCATATGTCAGAAAGAAAAAAGCTTGGGGCTATAAGAGATTTTTTAAATATATTTTTTTTATTGATTTCAGAGAGGAAGGGAGAGGGAGAGATAGAAACATCAATGGTGAAAGAGACTATCGGCTGCCTCCTGCACACCCCCAACTGGGGACCAAGCCTGAAACCCGGGCAGGTGCCCTTCACTGGAATCGAACCTGGGACCCTTCAGTCCGCAGGCTGACGCTCCATCCACTGAGCCAAACCAGCTAGGGCGCACAAGAGATTCTTGCAGAAAAGGGAGGAAACTGGTGGCTGTGCAGTATATCCCTACAGCCCAATGCTCACTTGGGTCCAAAGCTGAATGTAGATCTTTGAAGTATGCTGAGACTTAGGGCCTGAAAGACTGACTCATATTGGGAAGAGGTGGGTTGTAGGGGGAAGTGGGATCACCTGTAATTGGCCTCAGTGTAAGCATTGAAAAAGGATTTAGCATCCATTCCTATTATGCTTGAGACAAGGACTTGGAAATTGGAAAGGTTTCATAATTGAGCCTCCAAGCTAATCTTTAATTCACTTTTGAAATTAGTATCAGAAAGTGTACTTGCTAAATTTGCTTCGTTTGGGTTTCATTTGTTTTTCACTTTGTTTCTAGGAAAAGATTGCTTTGGACAAATTCTAATTTCTTCGCTGCACAAAAGGAAAATGGGCTAGAGATGCAGATGGGCTCAGTGCTCCTAATGATCGCCTGGTGGATGACTAGACTGACTCCTGTGACGGGTCATTCTAGGCAGAAAGGCCCCTCCTCTCTTGCCAGGGTTTCCTTTCCCACTCTGCCCCTTCCCTATCTTATTTCCTGTCCTTATGAAAAGAAAATAGGTGCTGATTTCTGTGATCTGGGCATTCTCAATGAATTTGTATTTTATAGTATTTGATATTTGTGTTAACAGCCCTTTACTGTAATAGTACCTGTTGTGAATTCATCTCCCACCCTCCACTGACATGCTTTTGCGTATCTTTGAAGTTTTCTGCATTGTGCTTTTCTCTTGTGGAATACTCTCTCCACGTCTCTTGAATTACCCAAACTCCTTTCATCTTGCAAGGTCTGTCTTAATGTTGAAGCAGCAGAGCACAGTGAGGGTCAGCTTGGCAGAAGCAGAGTGAGAATATACTGAAGAGAAGCTGGAGCTCGGCAAAAATAATGTAGGGGTCTGTCTCTCCACAAACTTGGAGATTGTCCTAGTGCTAAAAGCTAAAGGGCATGTATTTTAACTAAGGATGACATTGTTATTGGCCATGCCCATCACAACCTGACTTCATGTCTTACTCTTCCCCTTGCTCTCTTGTCCTCTGCAGCAGGATTTATCAGGAACAGCACTTGATAGTTTGGGTCAGATAATTATTTGTTGTGAGAGGCTAGCCCAGGATTCCGCCCGTTTGAAATGAATAAAATTAAAAAAAAAAAAAAGACCATACCCTTTTATGTAATGATGTTTACTTTGAATTTATATTAGTTCACACAAACACTCCATCCATGCTTTTGTTCTGGCCCTCCGGTCCAATTTAAGAACCCATTGTGGCCCTCGAGTCAGAAAGTTTGCCCACCCCTGGGCTAGCCTGTCTGCCTTGTAGGATATTTAGCAGCATCCCTGGCCTGAAGCCTAGATGCTAGTAGCACTTTCCCGGTTGTGACAACTAGAAATGAATATAGACGTTGCTAAATGCTATGGGCTGGGGGAGAGTTAGGAGAAGAGAGGTTCTGCAGAATCATTCTCCATTGAGGACACTGCTCTACAGGCTCAGTGAATTTCTTCCAGGCTTGTACCTACACATGTGTGTGCAGAATGCCCTTTCCATTAGTTTTAGCTTCAAGATGACCTCTTTTGTGAAGCTTTTCTCATCACACTGCCAGAGCTGTTATTGCCTCCTTTTTGTGCTCGCATGCTAACAATGTGTGTTTAAATGAAAAGCCAAGATGAGAGGCAACAAGCACTTATTTGAGTTAAAAAAGAATTGCACTTCTGGGAAACACTGATTCAGGCAGAAACCTAAATAGTTTACAATTACGGGGTGAAGGCAAGGGATAATTGTGGGAAAGGTACAGAGTTGGCCTTCATAAATATTTGATGAGTAAAGGAAATAAACAATTTATTCTTCTCTCTGCATCTTTGCTTGCATTACCCTAATCCAGGTCCTCTTCATGGTAAATGGGAGCTCTTACCCGTTTCAAGCAGCTATCCTGACTCCTTGCTCCCTTCAAATCCTTCCCTCCACAAAGACTCCAGAATGACATGTCCACAATGCAAACCTTACTCCTGTGCTTAAAAGCCATCAGTGCTTCTTGCTGCATCTGACGCTTTAAAGACAAGTGTCTGTAACAGCTGAGTCTGGCCTTTTCTGGTCACTCCTTCCCTACACTTTTTTCCAGCAGCTACAATGGCCTGTCGTTCTCCCTAATCATTGTGCTATTTCACACCCCGATGCTCTGCTCCTGCTGCTTCCTCTTGTCTGCAGTTTCCCCTCTTGTACTGGGTAACTCTAACTCAGCCTTTAAGATTCAGTTCAGGGACCGCTTCTTCTGGAAGCCTCTGGGCCAGCTCCCAGGCTAGGTCGGGGTTCCTCGTCTGTGTCCCACAGTACCAGTGTCTGCTTGGAACGTTTCTTACTGTCTGTCGGTGGGTCTGCCTTCCCAATTCCCAGTTTCTTCACAGCAGGCATTCTCTCTCTCATCTTTGTAGCCCAGGTGTCTAGCACAGTGACACAGTGACTGGCAAGATGCAGGCACTCAGATTTTGTTGAAGTGAATGAATGTGAGGATGAAAAGTATGAGCTTTTATTTAAAGAAAAGGTTTCACATAGAGGCTCTTCATGATTAATCATTTATTTTTCTTTTGCTTTCCGCAGATATTGGTATCAACTTGACAGATCCTGTATTCAGAGGAATTTATAGGGGGGTTCAGAAGCATCAAGGTAAATGTTTTATTGAGGTAAACAGTTTCTCTATGAAGATAAATAGTCTGCCTCAAAGAGACCTAGAAAAGCATAATCCACTCTTACAACTGAAATATTACTATGCATCTTGGATAAACTGTGAACAAAGTGAAACACCTATAAGCTACATTGATAAACTGTGATAGTGAACACTTATAATGCACCTGTTGTAACAGTTAACCAAGCCCTTATCTGTAGAAGTTTATAATTTCGAATATAGCACTTTACATAACCATATGCAGAAAAGCCAAACAGTAGTTGATGTTTAGTCTTTCAGGCAATCGAACAGTAAGGGCACATAATTTAAAAATAATGTCCAGTTGAACATTAGTACGTCTGGTTTTCCTAAAACATTTCAGTGGGTGACTACGTGGGAATGTGGTTTAGGGGGCAGTGCACTGCAGTCCTCCTCTGTCTTGCCTCTCCCCCTTTCCAGCCCAGTCCTGCTAGATCCTACACATCTGCAGTGCAGGTGGGAAGAGCAGTACCTCAAAGATTGATGGAAAGCTTAGCCAAAAACAAAATGGCTTCTATTTATCACATCAAGTTCATTTTTAAAAGGCTTATGTCAGCTACGTGACTAAGCAGGAAATGATGGTGACAAGTTTTTTAATTTCTCCAATAAACTGTGCATATTGCCTCAGAAAATTACTATATTTGTCATTATGTAAGTACAAATAGGAAACTTTGGTTTTGTGGGTCTGGATGGTATGGAATTGCACATTTCACATGCTCAGTCAGAAGTTAATCTCACTTGATACTAAGTGAAAGCTTTAAATATAGGAAATGCTAGATGTCACTTGAACAGAGAAAGATAAATGTTAGTTTTCCTTAACCTTACCTCAAAACTTATTTTACCTACTGCATTTAGAAGTTTAGATGTTATTTACATAGTATAGTTAGAAAACTGAATCAATTACATTCTGCTTTTTTTTTCGCCTCCTAGCACTCAGAGTTCATGCTTTGTGACTGGGTGTATATATTTGTATATGTGTGTGTATGAAATAAGTGTTATAGTGATCAATATCAGTATTATTCTAGTTTATAATAATTAGTAAAACTGCTCTACTTATATACGTTCACTAAGTTGATAATTCTTTGTCTAAATTATATTTTGTAGCTATTCTAGAAGTAATAGTAATTGAATTCCAATCACATTTACTTTGATGCTTAAATATGAAATTAAAAAATAGGTTTTTATGACATAATTGTTTAATTTTGCTACAGGCCTCTTGGAGCTTAGTAATTACTATTGATCTCCCCCAAAAGTTTGTTACTTAACAATCAATTTTAGGAAAAAAGCAAAAAACAACTGTCAGAGAAAATAAAAAATTAACCTTCCTCAATGGGGATAGTAATTATAGAAATACGGCATTAACTAAAATTTTAAAATAGATGCTATATTTTGGGGAGCATTGCAGGTGTACTCTAAAAAGCCATAGTAAAAATAATCTTAATGATTTCTATTTTTAAAGATCTACCAACAAGTTTGAAATTCAAAGCAAATGGTTCAAATTGTAGTCAGTGAATTCATCTCTAGTTTGAACCTCTGAATTTTGTCACTTTATACTCTTTTGGCCAACAGAATAAAAATACAAATAAATTAATAACTTCATCTAGTTTGCCTTATACGGGTTTCTTTTTCTAAGATTATCACACTCTATTCTTATACGTTAAGTACTTGTTAAATAGTATTGATTTGATTTTGATTTAGTAAATGTGACTTAGAGATAAATGGAGTTTTATTTACCAGGCCCTCTTACTTTGGGATTCATCTTTTACAGATGACTTACAGGATGTAATACAGAGAGCTGTCCAAATTGGTGTTAAAAAGGTAACATCTAGTTTTTATTACTATTGAGATTTTTTTTTTAAACTAAATTTTGGTTAAAATACTGCTGAATAGAAGGGAAAAAGCCAGTATCACACTTGCCTTTTTTGAGTATATACTATTAATATGTAATATTATCAAGTTAATGAAATAAAGTATGTCCACATATTCTGTTCACAGCAGTTTAAATGACACAAGCTTCATGGATAGTTAGTTCTTCCATGTGATCAGAAATAGCAAAATCTCTTTGAAATTTTTTTCAAAGTCCGTCTGAAATACCAGGCGTCTGAAGAGGCAACCAAACATTCATTTTATGGCATACTTTAGTATTTATTGAGGTAAGCAATCATAAAAAAGACATGTATCTGTCACCAAGCCTAGTTTTTATAGTATGTAGGTATACCATTTCAAGTAACTGAGAGGACAGTTTCATTTTTCAGTAATAATTTGATTAGGAAAATGCCTGCTATTTCAGAGAGTTGTGTAGTGGTGCGGTATCAGCACACTTGGTGGCTACTGCCTCTACATTGATTAGCTTCCCAGAGATCTTTAGTTATTCAGTCTTTTGCAGTGTTTCACAACCTGATCTCTGCCTTCAAGGAACTCATGGTCTAATAGGAAAGACAGACATGTGAATGCATTTCAGTAGGTGGGAGTGATGAATTCTGTGTATTGTGTGTCTGTGCGTGGAGAGGAGTAGACAGGGACCACTCTACATATAGGAGATGACCCTTCAGTTGAATTTTAAAGGAATGGGAGGTGTATGACAGTGAGAGATAAAAGCATTCTGGAAAAAAGCAGTAATGGGAAGGCATGTTTGTGGAACAATTGCTGGTACCTTGTTAAAGTGGGCTTATTTTATTTCTATTTCAGTTTATGATTACAGGTGGAAATCTACAAGACAGTAAAGATGCACTCCATTTGGCACAAACAAATGGTATCCTCATATTACTTTTACCAAAAGCAAATATGAATTAAGTTATTTTGAAGAAATCTTTCTGAGAACTGCTTCAGGTACAATACAATGGATCATGACTGTAGAAACAACAGGAAAATAGACTGATTTCAATGGGACATGATTATGATGAAGAGTTCAAAGTGCCCATTGGCATAGAGCTTAATAAGGATTATACTTAATAAGGATTAAGATTTCAGTTAATGAGAATTAAGGTCACCAGGTATATAATTTAACCTCAAATATTCCTGATGTAGAATTTTTGTGTATATGTTGTAATGTGTTTAAGGTGAATTGCTTGCAATTTGCTCTTTTTTAACCTAAGCTGTGAAAAATTATTTATTAAATATTTATTATGTAGACCACTGTGCAAGTAATACTGTACTACATAATCCATCCTGTACTTTATGTTCATACATTCTGCAATTATTTAAAATCTATGAAATTTTGGAATTGGTTCCTAAAGAAATCTTAATTATATAAAATACCTCCTTTATCCAGCATTCATTTACTTATCAACCTTTTTGGGGGGTGTGGTTTGCTTTATCTATTGGACATTGAAAAATTAGGCATTCTACGTTATTTTTCAAAATAACTGGCTTATTAAAAGCTATTGTTTATGGAAATCGCTTCAGGATCCACTGCTACTTTTTCATAGTGATTAAGGTCATAAGAGTAGTCTTCTTTCCAGAGCTTTTAGGTGATGAGAATATTGTCTTCCATACTTTTTATCCCCAAACAGATATGTTTAAAAAAATCCTCAGATCTCCGATGTCAGCCCTCTTTCACTCCTCTCCGTGTACCTGTTTCCTCACTGCTTTCAAAGCTCTGCCTCCCTTTTTATGTAAACATCTGCTCAGAGTCACAGGAAGGCTCCACACCTTTCCCATGGGTTCAGCTGCACCTTAAGCCACTCAAAAACCCTTTTGGCTTCATATTTGTGTTCTATGCAATTAAAACTATCAAAAAGTATGGCCTCCAGATAAGTGAGCTTTATTTTTATTTAGAAAAACAAATTCCCCCTTCCACCTCTTTAAGTTACCCTTATTAATGGGAAGGGATATACATTTTAACTATTAATACATGAAATAACACAACACATGAACAGTGACTATAAAATATAAATTTAGTTATTGACATTTGATTCCACAATTGTTTCATTTTTCCGTTCTACAAGGCTCAGTATATACCAAGCTTTGTTTTTTTTGTTAATCCTCACCTGAGGATATTTTTCCATTGATTTTTTTAGGGAGAGTGGAAGAGAGAGGGAAAGACACAAACATCGATGTGAGAAAAATACATCGATTGGTTGCCTCCTCATGAACCCTGACCAGGGCCTGGGCTGGGGAGGAGCCTGCAACCAGAGTATGTGCCCTTGACTGGAATTGAACCCAGGACCCTTTGGTCCGCAGGCCGATGCTCTATGTACTGAGCCAAACTGGCTAGGGCTAAGCTTTGGGAAGAGTTGCATTAATTATTTTTATCAAGATGTTAAGGCAATTTTCATCTTCATGCCCTACCTTGTTAAAGTATTCCAAAAAGTTTTATATGATTAAACTAATGCAATTCTGATAGTTTGAATAGTTTTTGGCTATTAAAAATTAACCAGTTGAAATTAATCTATAGTCTCATTTATGCATATTAAATATAAATATGAAAAAATAGCTTAAAAATAATCCTAGGACATTATTTTGTGCTTAGATATGTTTTTCAGTACAGTTGGATGTCATCCTACAAGATGTGATGAATTTGAAAAGAATAATCCCGATATTTACTTAATGGAGTTGCTAAATCTTGCTGAAAACAACAAGGGGAAAGTTGTAGCAATAGGGGAATGTGGACTCGGTAAGTGCCAACCCAGCTCTGTGAGTGACCTTGAAAATATAATTGATTTGTTCTGTGCAAGTCATGAGTAATTATTCTTTTTTTTTCTTGAAGATTTTGACCGACTACAGTTTTGTCCCAAAGATACTCAGCTCAAGTAAGGAAATTTGTTGACTTTAGGAATGATTGTAAAATCTTAATTTTTTAAAAAAAAATAGCTTTTATCATCCTGAATATGTATCTTTAAGCATCAGGCTCACTTTTTTTCCATTGTATATCAACAGTTAAGTGCAACAAATGCCATGCATACTTGCATGTAATTTCTAAGGGACCAAAGGTTAGATAGATCCCTGATTGATTAGCCATATAATCTGATTTTAATGGTAGAAATAAGTGATGAGTTTTATATAGTAGAGGCTTTGTGTTGCTTTTGACTTAATGCATTCATACATGAACCATTCCAATGAAATGAATCGTATTCATTTGTGGGGGATATGATTTAAGAGAAAGGATATGAAAAAGCGATCGGACCAAAGCCAGAAAACTTATTTTAGTCTTGCTGGGCTTTGGATAGTGTCACTTTGGAGCAGAGGAATCCTTAAGAGCTATGTTGAGAGTGGTGTCTTCTTAGAAAACAACAAAGCTTACAAGCTTTGGGGACTTCCTATACCCTATTGCCTACAGCTTTTAGTTGGAGCTCCTGTCATACTGGTGGGTAGTGTTAGAGGCTGAAAAGAAAATTTAGGTCATAGGCTTAATTGAAAATGTGCATTTTGTTGAATTTCAAAAACAATTTTAATTGTCTAGATCAGTGGTTGGCAAACTGCGGCCCCTTGAGTGTGGCTCTTCCACAAAATACCACGTGTGGGCACGCACGTACAGTGCGATTGAAACTTCGTGGCCACACTCAAGGGGCCAAAGAGCCGCATGTGGCTCGCGAGCCGCAGTTTGCCGACCACTGGTCTAGATGATAAAATATTAGAATGAGCTTCGAAAGGAGGTTAATTTAGTTATTCCACCATTCAGCAAATATTTAGAGACTTATATGTGCCAGAAACTGCTAAGAACTCAATAGTCAAAAATGTGAATAAAGTATAATATCTGTCCTTACGGCCATTTAAGAATAAATAATCCTCTGCTTAGTTGCTTATACATGAGCAAGGAGTCTGGATCAAATTCTTTAAGATACCGTCTAGCTCTAGCATAATATTTTTTTTCTCTCATAATATTTAATTAACCATTTTGTCATATGATCTTGATTAAGCCAGTGGCTTGAAGGGATTTTTCAAATTATATATGCCAAATTATATCTCCCCCTCCCTTCACTGCCCTACCACAAACAGCCCCATATGTCCAGCCCAGTTGAAAATGCCTATAGCAAGAATCAGATTGAGTAGCGATTCTGTCACACCCAGACTTCAAGCTCCAGAATTCCTGGAGCGTGAAGGTTCATAACCAAGTGACATAGGACGGATTACATTAATGTTCTTTGAAGTGTTTCAGTTCTCTAATCTTTATAACTGTGTCAGAACTATTTAATTAGTGACATAATATTTGCTGTGTTTTTCAAGGATGCTCATGTGATTACCCACAGGATCACTAAATCCCTTTATCTCTCTTAAATATCATGTAGGGCAGCTCACTTAATCTTAAGTTCACAGATTCATAGTTAAGTAGAAACAACAGTTGTCTGTAGTGGTTTCTTAAGTTAAGCCCACAGATCATAATTCCTCCACTTTGGTGTCTTTTCAGCCAAGATAAGCCTCATGAGGCAAAGACTGTGGTGTGAGAATAATAAGACTTTAGAACTGTTTAGAACTGTGAATTACAGGTGCTCTTTGAAGGAAAGAAGTAGCAATTTTAATGTTCAGAAGCTGACAGAGATGGATGAGCAGGACACTTGAGTGGAGCGTATGCTAAGTGTAATCAGACAAATTCTATTTTCTTACTTGAGCAGCTATTTTATTGGGACTGCTTATGTATGTCCGAGGAGCCCACAACTTGGCTACATAACTTTTTTGTACTGAAAGAACTCAACTTTTTGTGGCTTTTAGTCCACATTTAATTTAAAGTAACTATAGCACTAAAATGCCTAGTGGAAGATTTTCCTCCAGACCCCTAAGGAAATTTTATGAAAAATGACCCTTCAGTGGTTAAACTTCTCATGTCATTGGTGCTTCTGGCCCCAATAGCACCACTAGACAACACAACAACCACATGGAAACATATTTTTGGAAGCAAAACTTTATTTTTATATGACACATTCTATGATGAGTGAAGATAATTTGAGCTATTTGTTTTCCTTAATAAAATGGAACCTACTGTGTTGAAGACTCATGTGATTCTCTAAGTGTTTTTTAATAAATTAGAATAAAATCTGATGTGATGCTGGTCATTGAATGAATTTGTATGGAAAGTTACATTTTATTCATGAATATTTTAAAAGAGGACATAAATAATTAACATAGGTTGGAAAATTGTTTTTGCCTGCTCTGTAATAGGAAGGCTAATTTCCAAACTGAGCATTAGATTCTGTAAGTCTCCAGCTTGGTCATGTGGCTTAGTACATAGAATTCTGCTGAAAAATATTTTCAGTTTAGAGGGGAGAACACAGAAAGTGGAGAATATTGCCTGCTGTGCATAGCCAGAAGCCACACACTAAGTTCATAGAATGACTGGAGCACACTTACTTGCTGACATTTGAATTAATTTAGAGGTTATGGAAATAATGACTAGTGTAATGATTTAAATCTTTTTCCCCCTCAAGTTTCCCTTCTGTTTCCTACACTGAAATTTCAGCACTTTAAAAATATTTTTGTTTATACTAACCCAGCAGAATTTTAAAAGGTGGTTTAAAAACCTAAACATTGGGTAATAAAGACATAGACCACCGATTTTAGGATGACTATGTCTTTTAAAAGTATATTTTTGTTTCTAATTTTGAAATTGAGCATTTTCGAAGATAGAGGGGTACTCAGTAAAATAGCTGCTCTGCACTTCAGGAGACAAGATATGGGAAAATATTACCAAAGAGATTTAAGTTAAACACAGAAAAATTGTTCCCCAAGATCAAGAGGTCTAGAAGAGCTAAGCCCCTTGGAAAATAATAAGACACCTCTTGTCTGTAACTCCTGGTTTCACCTAAAATTACTTGACCATTAAGGAAAATGAGAGGGAACACTGTGCTAAAATGAAGGGGAAAAAACACCCCTCCACCCACCACCCCATTATATCCTCTGGATATTATACTGTGGGACCAGGAAGAGGCTTCTTTGATACACCATGACTTTTGGTTTTGGCGGGGACTTGGAATTGGAGCACTGAAGTTCGGGTTCTAGGTTTGCCATGTTGTGTGTTGTGATCGTGAACAAGGTCCTACCCACCTCTGACACCAACCCTTGTGCTATGCTAGATGAGATAATGGTATGTGGCACTTGGAAAACCTTTCTATAAAATATTCTAAAATATTCAGAGCTGCTACTTTATGTAATTTTCATTTTTCTGAAAAATGGAGTATTTTAGTTTTTGTGCTCTTTAACAGCTCCTTGTATTTAGTTTATAAGGGAATCCTTTTGGTACAGTGGCAGTAATTTATTATACAACAGCACATAGAAAACACTGAGTATAAATAAAGCTCTGCCTGGCTTCTCACTGGAGTCAGCTGACTCCTGCTGATGGTGCTCAGCCAGCTCTCAGAGCAAGGGGCCGGTCGTGTATTTTCCATCACCAAACACATTCTGCAGAGAAGGGATCCCACAGGTTATAGGATGGTGTCTGCTTCATTTGCTGAGATTTGGTTGGACAGCTAGTTAAAAGTATTTGGGGAAATACCCTATACCTCTAAACTTAAACTCTATAGCTCTTTAGTTCTAGTGATCAATAGTAAAGTACTAATTTACCCTGTAGTTAATAATCATTTCTGAAAATTTTGTAATCCCAGAAAATGAAGTACCCCTTTCCAGAAGATGTGTGTTGTAAAAGCCTTTGGCTAAGCCTGGCATATTTTAAATGTCTCAACTTAGTATCTTTGCCCGATAATTTCTAGGGAAATTCCTTTAACTAAAAAAGATAATTTAACAATTATTTTTCTCATGCTAAAATAAAATTTTTAACAAAATCTTTTGTATTATGCAGATATTTTGAAAAACAGTTTGAACTGTCAGATCAGACAAAATTACCCATGTTTCTTCACTGCCGAAACTCACATGCTGAATTTTTGGGTGAGTTAAAGCTATAATATTTAGAATTTAAGTTTTGCAGAAATCCAACTATTTGCTAAAAGTTCTCTGTTTTTAATTCACAGACATAATGAAAAGAAATAGAGATCGGTGTGTAGGGGGAGTAGTAAGTATGAGTTGTTTTTACTAGATGCTGCAAAAAGCTTCTTGGTTATTAAGATTGGTCTTTTAAAGTAATTCAGATGTCAGCAATAAACTTACTGAGATTCCTCTCATTATCTGAAGGACATGTAAATTTAGTTACTGTCTTCAAAGTACAAAAATGAGTATAGAATTCTGTTTACTCTGCCTTTTCTATCAGACACTCTTAAATTTGAGCAAAATTAATTTTAATAATACTTAAAAATAATTTAACACTTAGGCTTGCCTTCTTAACTTCTTTTCAACTGTATTCACTATTATTACTCTGACTTAGAGACTCATTCTCCTTTCTGTAATTTGCTTCTACTTTAAACACTTCTATATGGTCATCTTAGTCATTAATCTTGAGACATTTCCCATAAATATTATCTACCCACCACTTAACGCGAGTATCCATGTGACTTTTAATATTCTGGGGATCATGGACTCCTTTGAAAATCTGCCTCAGAAAAATGCTCAGATATGTCAATTTTCATACATAATCGCAGGAGAGACTCACTGGGCTCCAATAAAAAAACCTGTTCTCTAGGCAGAGGAAATAGCATTTTGCACTAATTGTATACCCACATTGCACTGCTTTGACAATTTCATATTTATGCTCTTAAATTCTTAGCCTCATATTTTATGCATACTAGTGATATGCATGCTTTTTGCATTGCTGTGGTATTAAATATTACAGTGCACATTTTTATCTGTAATTTACTGACCCTATAACTTATCCTTTAGGAATAGTACTTGGAAATTGAGAGGCTTTCATTAATGCTCTTGGTATTACTGGTGGCACTTAAACCTTCAGGCTCTACTTCTCAGCCCATTTACTTTATTTCTAAATAAGAATTTACTTGGATGATTCTATAATAGTTAAAAAAAAGTAACAGCAACAGCAAATCCAACTTAAATTTTTGACTTTTATTAAAAATTTTCAAATAAAGAATTAATAATATTCTGAAATGGTTTATATGGAGTCACGTTTAAAATTATTTGATACTGTTTGGAGGCTATGTTTTCTAGTCAGAGGATAAAAATAAACCCTTTTGGGCATCTAATAGTTTTGTTGTATAGAAACTTGTTACCCAGTGTATTCTGACTCTAGGCTCAGTATTAATATGATATCACTGGCTAAGTATGTTTAAAGGAGTGTTATTGTTTTTACTGGTTTTGATTACATAAATACTATGAAAGCTATACCTTACCTCCTATATCTTTGAAGGAGAAAAACGCCTTCTCAATTCTTTCTTGCCTATTGAGCTGATATTATTAACTATATAATATTGTTTTAGCAACGTTCTTACAACCTCTTTATGTCTTAAAACTTGCCTTTTAAAAGTAATTTCTAACCGAAAAATTGAACGTTTAAAAATATATTTTTAATAGTTTTATAACATTTCTAATTTTTTCTCATGCTTTTGCCTAAGAATGTGGTTCCCTAGTCCAGTTCTCCTTCCTGGAGATGCATGCTGTAATGTATACATGCCCTAATGCCGGTGGAGATAGCCACAGGGGGCCACAAAGGCAGAGATTTTAGGCAGCCAACAAATTCCTTCTTATCTCATGTAATTGGAGATGATGACAGGTTATAATTGAAAATAAAAATTGTAAAGGCCACCACATTTGAAATCTTGTGGTCCAAAAACCCTAAATGCACCTACATTTTTGCTTAGAAAATCTTATTAAAGGAAGAGTAATTATAATAATAGAATTATGCCTGTATGTCTTTAGGTGCATTCATTTGATGGTACCAAGGAAATAGCAGCTGCTTTGGTTGACTTGGATCTCTATATAGGATTTAATGGTTGGTAGGTTCTGTTTTTGTTTTTTAACATATTAAGCGGATTCCTTAAATTGTTATAGTGAATTGCTGATGATGATACAAATTTGTTTAGTTTGTATTTTGCATTGACCTTGGCCTGAAAATTTCAGTAATTATGTAGGAAATTAAACAGTACTATTACAAGTTAAAGCTGGAACATTAAAAACTACCATGTGTTCCAATAATGGAAAATAATTTTATGTTGAGCTCAGCAACTAGCTTTCTGTAGCAGTGCAGTTTATTTTCAGGTTATTTTTGTCCCTTTAAAACATACCTGTTCATTGTGTGTGTGTGATGACTGACCACGGGGGAAAGGTTATACTATGACATAATCATCTATATCTCTGTAGGTCAATTAACTGGGGCTTAGAGAAGCTAAAAAACAGGTATAAAGTAACTCAAAAGTGTGAGGACCTGTGTCCTCTGGCTCCTCACTCAGTGACCTTTCTGCTCTTATGCCAAACTAAAACCTCACATACCCAATACAGGCTCATTTTCTTCCAGATTTGGTGAGCCTCCACCAGTGTCTTTTTACAGGATGTCAGTGTAGGTCATTAAATAAATTGCAAAGTAGTATAAGATTACTTTCCATCATCTGTGTTTAATTTCCTTAAAATTATTTTTCTGATTTTTTTTACTATAATCTTAGAAAATAAAAAAATGAAATTTACCTGTTTGCTATAGAGTTCAGACTTAATTAAATGTTCGAGTATTTTAAGTTAATTTGTTAATTACTATGCGAAGGACTACATGCCTATGGAAGAGAAAGTCCAGTAGTACTAAGAGACTTTAAACACTCTCCAGCATGTCCTGTACCCCTGAATCAATTTTTCCAGAGGCAATCACATTACTCTTTATCACCTTCTAATTTATATGCATTGTTATTCATTCATTCCCTTTACCTGTTCTCATGAAGGTATATGAGCATTTAAGTCCATATTCCATACTGTTCCCCCACCTGCATTATCCTCCATAGTCCCCTTAGTTTAGTTAGAGTTTTTGGTTATATGCATATTCCATGTTTTCATTATGTTTGTATATTGTTGACTGCTGAACCATGTGGTGTACCACTTTTTTTATTCTCCTGGAGTAACTTTCCTCATACTTTTGTTTACTTGGCTTTCTTCAAAACTAAGCTTCTTATACTTTGCAACATCTCTATAAAATGCCTTTATCTGTTTTTTCCTATGAGGAAACCTGTCTAGATAATCTGATTGTTCCATTCCTTCCAGACCCTTCCATCTTGCTGCTTGTTAGGACTAGTGTTTCTTCTTTGATAGAACTATTTTTAGATCCCATGTATTCCTTTTGTGTTGATGGAACACATTTGAAAGTGAATTTATTCTACTTTTCCCTCTTGGAAGTTTGCCTAGATAGTGGATTTAAAAAAAAACCAAACACTTTCATTTGATATTTTTTCTGCAGCATCTTCTCATCTCTCCGAAGAATTACAGTTTTTTAAAGTTATTTTCTGTTTGCCAAAAAATGCTCCACGTTCCTTTTCCCCCTTTTGTTGTTTTGGTCTCTATCACAATGGAGGCTTTCTTCAAATGTCAGGCTGTTCTTCCCTGTATACTGGAAAAGTTAAAAAAAGAAAAAAAAGCTGATTGGAAGCTCAGTGGTGAGATAGCCTATCAACTGGGCCAGTCAGGTGGCCAACTGACATTCTCAGCAGGGATTCCTAAATGTCAGCTTGTTGAGCTCTTCCTCCCAGTTGGTTCAGTGTCTCCAGAGAGGATCCTCTGCTCCCTGCTGGAAAAGTGGAATGGAGATTCATAAATGTGCCTGTGTTCTGAAGCAGGAAAGGGTTGGAGAGGATTTCACTGTGCAGTAAGCAGTCTCCATTTTCAGTTCCATGCCTGACCCTGCACTCCTCTGTGCTTGCTCTCCAGTCTAGTCTCTGGTTTAAATTCTCCAGACTGTACACATCTCTCTCCCTCCTACATCCTCCCTCTTTCTCCCTGGGTGGGGGCAAAAGTAATTAATCATCTCTGCACTAGTTCATGAGAAAGTAATCTGGGAGTCCCATCTTCTCTTTACTCTGACTTTTCACTTTTCAAACAATCCCCCCTCCAGTCCCCTGCCTTATCCCTTTTCCTGGTTCTTCCAGTTCTTAGAACTTTCTTGGGTGAATTGGTTTGTCTTCAGTATTTCTCTCTATAGGCATATAACACTTAAGTTGCTTAGCAGGTAAATATGGGTTATCATTTCTCCATCCACTTTCCACTCTATGTATTTTGATTAGGGGTTAGAAATGCCTTCTAGTTTCATAAAAAACATGCTGTTTCTTTTTTTCCTTGTTATTTTGGGATGGCTTTCCAGAGACAGGGGTAGAAGGCTTTTATTCTACCCATTTGAACTGTAAGTCTGTTTCAAATGTTTCTAAATTATCTCGAGTTTATAAAGACTTAGCTTTTTTCCTCCCTACATTAACTGAATTAATGGATTAGTTGTTTAGTCAGAGTCAGTATTTCTGGTCTTATTTTGAAATTTATTTTAGTCTTAATCTGAGTTTCTACAGTATGGTAATTTATACTATCTATAACAAACTTTGGTTTCTAATGATTAAAATTATAACCTTCTTCCCCCCCCCCCCCGCCCCCAAGAAAATGGGCAAGTTTTAAACTTGAACACACAATCTCAGTTGTTCTTCCTTAGACCCCGTCATCCACCCCCACCCCCCCCCAAGGCCTTTTCCCTTATTACGTATATGGGCTATGCATATATGCACATAAGTTCATTGGTTAATCTCTCCCCCCCTCATTTCTGTATTTTGATCAATTTTTACAAACATGGAATACATGTTGGAAAAGTCTTAAGTCAGTCAGACATGATTTCATGAGATCAAAAATATGTAAATTGTTAATTTGGTGACAAGTTTTAAATTTAGTATCCAAACTGTGGGAGCAGAAAATTTAATTTTCCTTCTACCCTTTAAGTTATTCTGCCTGGATTCTATAATCAAATTAATATGAGATAAATTAATAGGAGAAAATATTCAAACTTATTACCTAGGTATATATGGGAGTTCCATGAGAGTGAGACCAGAGGACAGAGGAAGCTGATATAGCCATCTTGAGCTAAGAAGGGAGGAGTTGTGGTTTGGGACTTGAAAGGGGAGAAAAGCAGTTCACATGGAGATGAAAAGCTAATGTTTGGTAAACAAATGTTTGCTGGGCCTTCTTTAACAATGGGACACAACAGGACTTTGATCAGATGGGCCTTGCTAGTAGGTTCCTCTGTTATACTTAGTTCATATTAAACTATTGTTGTTTATGATGATAGCTCCCTCACTGGAGCAGATCCTCTTTCTAAATTCTCTTAGGCCAGTGGTCGGCAAACTGCGGCTTGCGAGCCACATGCGGCTCTTTGGCCCCTTGAGTGTGGCCACGAAGTTTCAATCGCACTGTACATGCGCGCCTGCACATGGTATTTTGTGGAAGAGCCACACTCTTTTGTGGAAGGGGCCGCAGTTTGCCGACCACTGTCTTAGGCAGTTAGGGAGAAATGTCAAAAGTTTTTCCTTAAAAACTAGCTTCAAATAATAGCCCAAAGGCATATTTGCAGTGGCAAACTCTGCTTCCCCTTAATACTGAGCATATCAATATATTTTAGAAAATATTTACATTGACCAAGTACTAAGATGGCTGAAAATAATTCTGTTTTCTTCTAGGGAACACTAATTAAAAGACTGGTACTTATGGTAAACTAGACAAACATTTCACTCCCACCCCTCCTAAAATCCTACTAAAATTATATCCAAAAAGGGAAACGTATAAAAACAAAAGTGAGTTTTGCTAATGTAGATTTCTGGAAAACAGGTGAAACTGAAAGAGAAAGTTTAGACTATACCACTCTAAGTTGTGTCAATTTCTCAGAAAAGTGAAATATTCTAAAAAGTTTTACTTACTCATAGGAAGTTATTGTATCCTCCCCAAAGGCAGGATCTGGTTGGACTAGATCTTAATTTGGATTCAGTAAGGCTAGTTAGTGACAAGGAGAAAATTCTGAGATGTCCTGAATTAAACCACAACAGGCCAGAAGGTTGAAGGAAGAACAGGAGGGGGTTAATCAGTAAACAACTGCAAGGCCAGATAACAAGACTGCTCACATTCCTGTATGTTGTCTGGTAGAATTTTGGATTAACTGCCTTGTGGCTATTTCCACAATTATCTAAAAAGAGACTAGCTAGGTGCCATCTGCTTGAACTTTCCAATCTATTACCCACAGTCAGTCCCAGAACAGACACCTTCCTGGAAGACCCTGAGCCTATCCCAGAGCTGACCCCGTTTCACCTCCTCCCACCCCTTATCTATATACACTAAATTCTTTCAAAACAACTCATATCCCCACCATGATGTGTAAGAATGCTCAACTCTAGGATGGCTGACAAGTTGCCTTTTCCATCTAGTACTATTGCTGGTGGTTTAAACTTCATACCCCAGGACCTGGTCTTTTTCTTGCTGGCAATGGCCTAATAGCCCTTTAAAAAAACTTTCAGCCTTGGCGGTTAGAACTTTTATTTAATATGGATGGGCAAATACAATGGTATATTGCCTTTGTAGCCAACCAAAGTTTTGGGATTTTGAGTTAGTTTTGTGATCTGTTGAGACAAGTTTATAGTATGAAAAGTCATTAAATGCACCTTTTTATTTTATACATTAATATCTTTTAAGCTCACTGAAAACTGAGGCTAATTTGGAAGTTTTGAAGTCAATACCTAGTGAAAAATTAATGATTGAGACTGGTAAGTTTGTTTTTAGAACTTTTTCATATTAACCCATTCCAAAAAAAAGAACTAAAGAAAATTGAACAAATGTTTTATTTTAAAACAGCACACAGCCTCAACAGTTACATTTTTTAGAAAACCTTTGGGGTTATCAATTGATGGAAAAATATTTATGCAGGTGATTTTTTTAATTTTAGAAATGTGACAAAAGCCTAAGCACTTACAAAGGGATGACTAAACAAGGAGTCTTAACTAAGCTAATTTTAGCGCAGGGTTTAAAAAACTATTCAGAACTTTTTACACAGTGTCTTCTTTGCAATGACTTAATTCTACAATACTTTTAAGTGCAGAAATTTAAATCAAATTGGTTTAGTCTAAGAATTTCTGATAGTAATCTGTTGCATCTTAAAACAAGGTTAGAAGCTAACATTTTTATCTATACCCTGGAACACAAGGATTTTATACTAGAGGACTTTTTTTGTGAAGTCAAGGCTGAGCCATTCTGAAGAAATCAGGTTTATTTCCTTGGGGAGTAATGAAAACTTAATGAGGTCATTAAAAGTACATAGCTTAATTTAATTAAGGAAATAGGTTATTGAATAACCCCAGTATTCAAAGCTACTATTTTTATATTCAGTTGAGGCAATACAGAAGTTTGTTTAACCTAAATGTTTTCATGTTACAACTGTATTTCTTTTAGCTTTAGATCTTTTTTTAAAAGCATATCATACATCAGCAATAATGGGGGTTAGGGGACAAAAGTCTTATAAAAACATTTAAGAATTTGTACAGTTTAAGATTTCTGTCTTGTGTGTTTCTTAGAACCTTTCTGTTGCTTTTTGCCATGTTTGAAGCTGAATCATAACTTATATTTTAGAGGTTATATATTAGCTTGATAATGTTCATTTAAAAAAATAATTCAGACTTCTATTTGCTAATTCTAGATGCACCTTGGTGTGGAGTCAAAAGTACACATGCTGGTTCAAAATATGTAAAAACGTCATTTCCTACCAAAAAGAAATGGGAAAATGGGCACTGTTTGAAAGACAGAAATGAACCTTGCCATATAATGTAAGTATTTTGTTTTCATGGTCATTAAAACCAACCACCAAATGCCACTTAACAAAATGAACTCAAGGGACATAATTAAAGTTGGGTGAAGTCCAAATGAAGTTCAGATCAAATACAACCATTTTAATGCAGTGGTTTTAGGAATTTGCACCTGAATTGCTCTGTTTCAGCTCCTCTTTTTATATCCTCTCTACCCCAGTGGTTTTATTGCTGCAGTGAGAACTTCGTGTGATTTTGGTCACTTGTCATTTTGTAGAGAGGGAAAAGATCTTAATGCTTTCCATACAGGAACACCTTACCTGGTTTAAGTTCTATTCTCATGCAGCTTCCTGTTGGTTATAAAAATGCAATCTTAAGACCTTTTTAATGGTATCTGTACTTTGAATGATTTAAAAACCTGAATAAACCTAAGAAATAACACATGAGAATTTCCTTTTTCCAAACAAAAAGAGGGGTAGAACTTCATAGATTTTTGTTTTCCTTAAATTCATAATCTTTTTTATTATAATGTACAGGCACATGTGAAAAAGATGGGCTCTGTTACTCATCTAACTATCAAGGAGCTGGAGACGATATTTTAACTTACAGGAAAAGTTTGTTATATCATTTTAATGGCGACATCATCTGATTTCTTTTGTTTGCACAAGTACATAATTTAACTCTAGACTGTATCAATCTAGTGTGGTTTACCAGTTTAGGCGACTGAACACATTTATAACATTTACAAAAATTAATATTGAATTACTTTTAAACTAATAATTCCTTCCATATGCACCATTTTTTTCCCAGTAGTTTTTAACAGGTAAGAGTATTAAGTAAGCCAGAGCTAAATTCAGCAGGCAGAAAAGTGAATTAATTTTATCCAAACATATTGGAAAGACTTTTTGCTTTATTAAACATGCTAGTGTTGGCAAATACTTTAGAACTTAACTCAGGGGTCCTCAAGCTACGGCCCGCAAGCCACATGCAAATACAAATATTGTATTTGTTCCCGTTTTGTTTTTTTACTTCAAAATAAGATATGTGCAGTGTGCATAGGAATTTGTTCATAGTTTTTTTTTTTTTAAACTATAGTCCGGCCCTCCAACGGTCTGAGGGACAGTGAACTGGCCCCCTGTTTAAAAAGTTTGAGGACCCCTGACTTAACTGTTTTAAAACCCCCGGGTGAGGAATATATTCTGCTTAGTAAGGAATCACTTGTAATTTTTCTGAAATGTACATTCTTGCAAATTCAGAATATAACACCTTACCTGGTTTAAGTTCTGTTCTCATGAAGCTTCCTGTTGATGGTTATAAAAATGCAATCTATACTCCATTTTCTATACTATCTTACTGTTAAGTATACCTGTTGACTTTAGCTATACATTTACAAGACAAAATTTTAACCTGTTTCTAAATGCCGACAGTTAAGAGCTAAAAATGCATGATTCGCAACTACAATCATGAATACCAGTTCTGAATAGGCAGAGCTTGGGAAAATCAACATTTGCAAACTGAAAAGCTTAAGCCACAGTCTAATTAACTAATTGGCAAGTTAAAATTCCTACTTACAAAGTTGTTTTAATCAAATTCCATCTATTAACAGTTCTTTATTTTAATTATTTGTATAGAGATCTCCCTTCTAAATAAATTCCTTGAAGCACATTTTGGAGGTCTTGCCATATGCCATTTTACTGAGGCTATATAGAAGAATCCAGACAGTCCCTTCCCTCATCTATCCACCAATGAGTAGGTACATTGTGCCAGGCACTTTGGATAAGGCACTAATTGAGTCAGACGAGGATTCCTTCCCTCTGGAACAAACAAGCACATAAAAAGTATAATTCTAGCTGGTAGTGGTGGTATAGAGGTATGAATGTGTGACTGAGACCATAGGACATAGCAACTGCCCGCCTTGAGGGGAAATAAGAGAACTAAAGTGACATTTCAACTGTTTACTAACTGGGAATTATGCCAGACCAAGATAAACACGCTGAGCAAAGGCAGACTGTTAGAGGACTTAGCTGCTCCAGAGGAACAGTGAGTTAGGGTGCCAGAAAGTAGGATGCACGAGTAAGTGATCAGTCTGGGAAGGTAGAGTGAGGCCAGATTGTGAGGGCTCTTCTGTGCCAACTTTAGTAGTTTAGATTTTATCAGGACCCAAAGGACTTTAAACGGGAAAATGGCAGCTTTTTTCTTAAGCTGTAACATGGTATCAGTGTGGAGAAAGGACTGGAAAGGAGAAGGGTATCAGGAATCTATTTTGCACAGTATTATGCAAGTTCCAATTCCAAATAGTTTAATAGAGGAAAATTCTGCAATTTACGAAGAAAATTGGATCTTTAGTGTCAATTTAAATTAACAGATTTACTTTCAGCATATTTTTGACTGTCAGATAACAAAAATTTAGTCAGTTCATTTAGTATACAAATTAAGCAAGCATTTTGTGCTACTTTTACGGAATAAAGTTCCAGTTCATCTTTAATCTCCATCCCTAATACCATTTGGTGTTTTATATTTAAGAAACTGATAAAAAGGAACAAAAAGCTTAATATAAAGACTATTTAAATGTTTAATTTTTACTTTAAAACTTTATGATTCATGTATAAAAATACTCTATATATAAGAATGCTAGAAAACATTACTGATAATTATTTTAGGGAGAAATTGAAAGAATAACACCTGGGCTATTCTCTGTATGGCAGGGGGGAAAGTACAGGAAAAGAAAGCCCAGTCTCCCCCCCCCCCCCCCCCCACACCAAACACATTATTCCGAGTAAATAACTTCCTTGGCTTTCATTGTGCTAGTGATCATGCCACAGTTTCTTGCTATCTTTATTACTAGTTCTCTAAGCAGTGGCTTTCAAATTTTGATGGCTGTCCCCACAATGACCTACATTGACTCATTACACATGTACATACATAAATGAAATAGTACTTGCCTACATGCACTGTACTTTTCCTTTTGTAACTTTCAATTTTTTAAAAGCTTACCATGACCCAGTAATGAGTATGTAATGGCCCACAGTTTAAAAGGACTCATTTCTACCAGGTTAATTCCCTAATTGAGGTACATAAAATATAGGCTGCCTTTATAATTTATTTGAAACTGGTTTTTGGCTCTAGTTATATGCAAAAACTACCACAGAAATCTCTAATTACTCTATTTTAAATATCCTAGCAGTTAAACTTTCTGATAGTGCTGAAAACTTTAATACCCGCTTAAGCTTATTAAAAGTGCTAGTATCATTCTTTATGTGGAAAAAGATAAATAGCTTTAAAACAGAATATGTAATTGGAAATTTAAACCATCTATTTTTGTTTTTAGTCAAATACTGGAGATAATGGCAGCAGTAAGAGATGAGGATCCACTGGAATTAGCCAATGAGCTATACAATAATACCATTAAAGTATTTTTTCCTGACATGTAATTGGTATGTATTTTCCATCATGTATGTGAAATTTCATGGTAAAACTTAGTTTCAATAAAGGAATTCTCTGGAACTTATCTAAAGAGGTATTATATACATCACTGCACACCATCTCCCTTATTTCTATCCATAAAACCAGGATTTTTTTAATGTCACTTAATACCTCAGCTTAAAAGAATGAAAATCACCAAGTATTTAATTATATAATCTCTTCAGAAGTCCAAAAGGACAATTTTATGTCCATGCTGCAAACACAGAATGGCTAACAAATATATTGATTTTCACATCAAAATTAAACACATTCTGGTTCATACCAGATATGTTGATACATACCTGATATACATACATACCTGATATATGCCTATTTCTCAACTCACAATATCCAAATCTTGACTTTTGAACTCAGCTCAACTACAGTGCTATTCTCAAATTTCAAAAAAAGTCTCGATCACTTCTGGCAGCCTACTTTTTCCTTAGTTCATAAAAATATATCCTTTATCCTCTGGTCCAAATTATTTTATTTCCTTGATTTAATGTGGTTTCCTCTGATTTGCTTTTTCATTCTCCCACCTATCTTAAAGAAACACTAGGGGCCAGAATTATACACTTTCATTTAGGAATCTTTGGCACAGTTGGCGCACTGTATTATCGTTACATCTATTAAAAAGCTATTTGTTCAAATTTTGTCATAAAAACGTGAAAACATTTTATTCTATGTACAATAATGTACACAAATTTAAATAGGTCACCAAAGAGACCAGAAGTAATTAAAGAGGTATATTTACAGTAGCACATCACAGTAAACGGAAAACCATTCACAGATTCAACATTGACTGTTTTTGTGCTTGGTTACACAATGAAGTGAAGCATATTAACTCCATTTTGGATGAACTGAATTTTGAACAAATAACCTCAATGATTAGTAAATGCTGTTTAATCAGTCAGTGTCCTCATTAAATTCTTCAGCTGCTGTACCTGTATTCTGAATCACTCCATTTCTTTCTGTTTGAACATCATCCTCACAATCAGTACTGTCATCTTCATTCAATTCCCTGGCAGATTCGGCAGCAGCAGCCTCTCTTACAGCTTCCTCTGCATTTTCATTAGGTGCAATAAATCCGTTGTTGCTACGTATATTTGAATTAGCCTTGATATCATCTTCAATGTATACTTTTTGATGGCACATTGGACAAGTATCTTGAATGTACAGCCATTTCCGAAGGCAAAGTGCATGGAAATAATGATTACATGGTGTCATACGAGCAGATGTAGTAAACTCATGATAGCAGATTGCACAGACATCATCTATTTCTTGTAAGCGGCTCCCTTTTATTTCAGGAAGTGAATTAATTTTCTTAACAGCAGTCCTACGATTCATGAATGTCTTCCAGCCATTTTTTGCTTGTAAGTAGATGTTAAAATACGCATGTAGACACATCATACAAGCCCGAATTTTACTTCCTGACTCAAACATCATAGTATAAGCCCCATTTCCAAACATTACTACTCCAAATATAAATTCAATAATATTGCCTGTTGAACGAACATAGTAGACATAATCATCAAGCTTTTCCCAGAGGACATTATAGTAGCCATCAATCATGAATAACGTATAAACAGTGAGAGAAACAATTACTTTTAAGCAGAGTTCCACACAGAAGGCTGTAACGGCAAACAACCATGTGTTTAGTGCATAGTGATGCCAAAGAACATAACTGAGTAAAACAGGAAGAATAAACAGGCAAGCAGAGACAAAGAGCACAGGAAAATGTCTACGAAAAGATGACACATGAGAGGCACTGAGAGACATTAATACGGGGTCTGTCATTCCATGGATGAAATGCAGGACTGCAGTTAATAAAAGGCACATGTTTCTACTTAAGCGAATAAGTCTCTCTTCTGGTCTTAGCCCACTTAAACCAGTCTGAAGAGCCAAAATAAAAAATAAAACAGGTGCTACAAAGCCAAGTCGCCTGTCGTCTTCTTCAGTTGATCCAATAAAGGCCAGTATTCCAAGGCCCAAATAATGGGCTATTGAGGAAATTACAGCACTCATGCCCAGCACAGTTAGTGTAGAATCACATCCACTAATTATAAGATTGCAAATGAGGTCCCAGAAATCGTCCCAAGAAATAAAGAAGGAATCAGTTTCACTTGCCATCCTTAAAATGTACATTAACACTGTAGCCTGAGCTGTAATTCTTGTTAGCCAAAAGACTCTCAGTATATCTGGGAAACGGATCCTCTTCCATGTGTCCTCCATTAATAATTGTAATCCATAAATTCGATACATGTGCCTCACTAAAAGATAAACATACCGTGTGGAATAATAAAACCACCTAAGTTTCACTGCCAAGACAAACAGTGTGTTTAATATAAGAATCAAGGAAGAAGTAAAAACTAAAGTCTCCCGGACGTGTAATGGTAGCTCTGTGATTAAGCCTATTACAGGAACCAAGAGATCCAAAATAATTAATTGTGAATAGATGGAATGAATTTGGAGTAGTGTAATGTATCCAATTCCAAATGTTAGCTGTAGAACAATGAGTGCCATCCATTGTGAGGGCCCTTTCCGAGGAAGCAGTTCAATTCCAAAAGCTGACGTGTTGTAGGCACCATAGAAGTCAATGTGCAAAACAGCATAATAATTTACCAACACTGAAGTTGCAGCTAATAGAAAGGCTGCGCTGTACATGTAAAACTTGAAAAGTGATCGTTGTGACAATATCAGAACAATACTGGATACAAATATACCTGAAAAAAAAAGAAAAAAAGGTCATGTGAAACGTTTTAAAGAATATTTTCCCACTAATAGTTATAGTCTCCCTTTAGGAAATTCGAGCATTTTTAAAATTATGCCTCAAGGCAATTTAGGTTTAAAGGCCAAAAGAGTTTTGTAAAGTCAGTTCAACAGGACAGACAAAACATTTTTAAAAATCTTATTAAAATTACAATTTCCAAAGTAATTTAAGTAGTACCATATACCCAGGCACTAAATTACCTTTGAGTTTGTAATGACATACGTTTTAATAAGTTTTAAAATCTTTAAAGAACATGTCCTTTTAAATTTTATAATTATTAAAAATAATTAAAATAATTCCATGACAAAAACATTACAATTAAAAATAACCAAAATGGAAAACACTTGTTCCTATTAAATCTTAGAATTCTTTTTCTTGAAAGTATTCTTTAGGAAATTGAGTTTAAGTTTTATACTTACATCTAATTCCTCCTTTTCCTCAAGCTGAACTCCAGCTGGCTCTTATTTTTCCTGCTCCTTAAATTGAGCATTCTCCCCTGCGTCCAAATTCAGTTGTCGTCCCCCCCACCCCAATTACCTTGCAAGTTTCGGAAATGTCTTTCAAGTTCCTTGTTTTCTATACATTATGGAATCTTTTTCTTCAAATAGTCTACCCTTTTTATTCTTCAAATTACAAAAGTAGCATTACGAAAACCAAAACATTTAGAAAACAGTAATAAATCCTCCTCCCCACTCCATACTTAACCAATGTATGGTCTGAAGTGTATTTAGAAGCATCTTTCTTGGTGCTCTGACAAATTTTTACGTGAGATTACAATAAACATTATCCAAGGTTTCAACTATGGAAACGATATCCAAATAGCCACCAAGTACCCTAGCTGGTGTGGCTCAGTAAATAGAGCATTAGCCTGTGGACTGAAGAAGGGTCATAGCTGGTTCAAAACAGGTCAAGGGCACATACCTCGATTGCAGGGCTTGATCTCTGGCCCTGGTTGGGTCATGTGTGAGAGGAAACCAATCCATGTCTCTCTCTCTCTCACTCTCTGTCTCTCCCCCTCCCTTCCACTTTCTCTAAAAAATTAAATCAACAGAAAAATATCCTTGGGTGAGGATTAACAAAAAAATAAAAATAAATAGCCACCTACTAGCACTTCTACATTACAACTGTAACATTCAAAATTTCTAAAACTTAACTTACCTCAAATGGCTCTTGTGATTTTTAATTTCAGTGGAAGGTACCATTATTCTCTTAATGGTGCCTTCTAGCCCTGTACCCTCAAACTTGACAGTCTCCAAATTCTAACAACTATTATTATCTCTTCTTTTCACCAACCTATTTATTAGTTTGTCTCTAACTAAAAACTCATCTTGTCCAAATCCATCTACAAGCCATCACCAATATGCCTTCATTTCTTTCTTCAAAATACTGTGGCAGCTCTGAAATAGTAATAATAACTAAAATCTGTATTTCTTATCCTAGAAATCAAGGATCCAGCTGGCCTTAGAATAATGCTCCTCTCAAAGCACACACCATAGCTCCAGACTTCTTTCCCAAAAACACCCTTTCGGTGCCATAACTGCAAACTGCGTTTACATTTTTATCTGCTTGTCATCTTGGTCCCACCCTGACTGCTCAAATCCTGTCCATCTTATAGACCCACTTTCTCTGATAGTGACTGTTCCTCTCCAGCATATCTACAAAACCTGGTGAAACTCCTAATACTCATATACTACCCGATACTGTAGTTTGTAGGTATCATCTACCCTGTTAGATAATGTCTTTGAGAGTAAGCAAGGATACTACCTTGTATATCTATGGATCACAAAATATTTTGTAGAAAGTAAATGCAATTACTATTCATTGGGGAACTAAATGTTTCTGTTGAATTCTGGATTATGTTTTTAAAGGAAACTACAAAATACAGCTCACTTAGAAATTGATATATATGAGGTCAGACAAAGCTAAGAAACTAGAGCTTGGCCCTAACCAGTTTGGCTCAGTGGATAGAGCTTTGGCCTGCGTACTGAAAGGTCCCAGGTTCAATTCCGGTCAAGGGCATATACCTTGGTTGTGGGCACATCCCCAGTAGGAGATGTGCAGGAGGCGGGTGATCGATGTTCCTCTCTCATCGATGTTTCTATCTCTCTATCCCTCTCCCTTCCTCTCTGTAAAAAATCAATAAAATATATTTTTTAAAAAAGAAACTAGAGCTTGGAGTATAGAAAACGTGACACACTCCAAATAAAATATCTATCCATCCTCCTTATTTCAGCATGCAATCAAGAAAGACTGCATATTACATACAGTGGAGGCATTTCATAATCCATTGCATGTAAAAGTAAGGGCTAGTTCAGCCGTGGGCAAACTATGGCCCGGGATCCGGCCCGTTTGAAATGAATAAAACTAAAAAAAAAAAAGACCGTACCCTTTTATGTAATGATGTTTACTTTGAATTTATATTAGTTCACACAAACACTCCATCCATGCTTTTGTTCCGGCCCTCCGGTCCAGTTTAAGAACCCATTGTGGCCGTCGAGTCAAAAAGTTTGCCCACCCCTGGGCTAGTTCCCCTAAATCAGCAGTCGCCAACCGGTGGTCTGTGAGGTCTGAAAGGTTGGAGACTTCTACTCTAAATGATGACTTTGCCCATGACCTTAAAATTTATCCTACGCCAATGTGTCAGGTCATTTGTGAAAAAGAACAAAGGACACAATCATCTAGAAGATACATAAATTTCTGCATAAAAACCACCTGATTAATTTCCAGAGCAAGTGGGCCACTAGTAATCTCCCAGAGAGCTAATATCTGGGTAAAGGTCCTTTCAATATAAAATGAACTGCCCTGGTCAGTGTGGCCAGGGTTGGGCATTGTCCCATGCACGTAAAGGCTGCCAGTTCGATTCCAGGTCAGGGCACATGCCTGGGTTGCAGGCTAGATCCCCAGTGGGGGGCATGCAGGAGGCAGTAGATTGATGTTTGGTTCTCACATCGGTTTCTCTCTCTCCCCCTCTCCTTTCTCTCTAAAAATATCGTGTGTGTTTTTTAAAGGACTTTTTAAAAAGCTGGATTAGGAATATTTTCCATGGAAGGTGAGAGGAAATGGAATTAATTCAACCACTATGTATATGTAATATTACTTTCTCTACATAGAAAAAGTCAGCAATTTTCCTGAGACAAAACTTAAACCAATCTCCTAAGATGAGTCGAATAACTTCAATTCTAGTTTATACCAATTAAAAGGGAGAAAGTCAAGCAGGGACTGTAAATTACTTTTGTCAACTTGCTATTCACAAAGTGGTAAATTAATCGTTGCTTGTGAATATTCATGAACTTTGTTGTAATTTATAACCAGTCCCCTTTTACTTGAATAGCTTTACCCCGAAACTCATTTTTACACACAAATGAAGGAATGACTTGGGTTTTAGAAATATGTCTGGAGAAAAAGTGCCATTTTGCTTTATGCAAATACTAGCGGTCCGGTGCATGGTTGGGTCCCTCGGCCTGGCCTGCGCCCTCTGGCAATCTGGGACCCCTTGGGGGATGTCAGACTGCCGGGTTTGGCCCGATCCCCGCCGGTCAGGCCTCTAGTATGCATATAAGATCTTTGGTTAATCTCTTCCTGCCCTCCCCACTCCCCCCTTCCCTCTGAGACTCATTAGTCTGTTCCATGTTTCTGTGCCTGTGCATTGAGCATATCTTCCCCCCTAGTGGTCAGTGCATGTCATAGCTACCAGTCGAAAGGTCATTTAGACTTTTATATATACTAGAGGCCCGGTGCACGAAATTCATGGTGGGGGGGGGGGGGTCCCCTCAGCCCGGCCTGCACCCTCTCACAATCCGGGACCTTTCGGGGGATGTCCAACTGCCGGTTTAGGCCCGATCCTGCGGATCCGGATCGGTCCTAAACCGGCAGATGGACATCCCTCTTGCAATCTGGGACCACTGGCTCCTAACTGCTCACCTGCCTGCCTGATTGCCCCTAACCACTCACTGGGGGGTGGGGCTGGCCGGGCCAAGGGCCATGGTCATTCTGCCATTTTAGTCGCTGGGCTTTTATTATATAGGATAGATACCAAGGGAAAAGGGGGGAGGGTAGACAAATAATGTAGTGAGACTACAAATCACAAAGTTCAGATGTGTCCTAGCAAGTAACAATCTAATACTATATTCCTTTTTTTTTTTAAATCCTCACCCAAGGATATTTTTCAATTGATTTTAAAGAGTCGAAGTGAGAGGGAAAGACAGAGAGAAATACAGTGATTGGTTGCCTCCTGCAGGCACGCACACCAACCAGGGCCCAGGCCAGGGAGGAGCCTGTAACCGAGGTATGTGCCCTTGACTGGAACTGAACCCAGGACCTTTCAGTTCACAGGCCGATGCTCTATCCACTGAGCCAAACTGGCTAGGGCTGATACTACCCTTTCTTGACTAAAATAATACCCTCAAGATGTAATAACGACCAAACACTTCAATAGTATAAAACTATTTAATTCTTACCCAAAGTTTGCATGTACATGGGGTTCTTAAATTTTCTTTTATACTCAAGGTCCTATGTATGGAACATGGGAGGAATCAACACTCATTTTACAGAAGGAAAAAAGAAAGTCAAATTCCCAAATAATAAGTCTCAACATTCCCTTTCCTGGCCTTGACCTTTTGTGACTGTTACCAATAATATTAAAGTTTTGTTGTATTTTCACAACTTCAGACATAAAACTCTTGTTATTTACCCTGTACACCTAAGAAAATTAAGCCCAGGGATAGTGTTTCTTATTAGCATGTAAGGGTCACCTACATAAGTAATCAAGGCTATATATAAATGATACTTTATAAAGAAAAACCATCTTGGGACACTGGAGAATAGAATTAACTGAAATCACAACTCAGGGACCCAATTTCCAGTGATTAGAGTTTCACCAAAGTTCTCGAGGTAGGAAAGAAGCAGGTATCTAAATCAATTCAGGATCTCTGAGGCTATATGTGAACTCAATTCATCAAGAGTTCAGGGCCTTTACAATTTGGATTACCCAAAATAAGCAAGCAGAAACAAACCATCACACGTTATACACCAATGTGTTTAGTTCTTTTATGTGCAAAGTCCATTCATACCATAACCTTTTCTGGAAACTTAGGACTAAAAATTAGAAACAGGACAGAATGTTTACAACTCTCCAGCTACCTTAAACCTTTAAAACATAACCTAAAGCAAGCTGTGGAAAAACATTTCAATGCCAGACAGAATAAAGATGGAGCCCAGAAATAAATGTTATGACTACCTTATTCCCAAGGGAGCCCTAACCAATGATATACAAGGTAAATAAAATATCTTGAAATAGCAATCTGTTGGTATACTTGATAAACTATACCATAAAGAAAAATTTTCTATCAAACTCACTTTAGGTTAAAAAAGGGTATTTTAAGTTTTTTAATAAGATAAAACTAAAATCTTGCTTCAAACTAAGATTTTATTAAACATGTTTTTATTTTTTAAATGTGAACATGATTTTTAAAGAATCAAACCACATTGGTATTAAGTGAAGAATAAACCAAGCTTTGCATAAAACAAGCACATATTTATAAACACACATACTCTTTTTGCTTCTTACTCAGAGGATCTTACTAAATAATAGTGGGTTTTCTTGTTATTTTAACCTTTTAAAATTTACATTTCTGATTATTTATCAAAGAGCATTTACTGACTAAAATCTTGCTTCAAACTAAGATTTTATTAAACATGTTTTTATTTTTTAAATGTGAACATGATTTTTAAAGAATCAAACCACATTGGTATTAAGTGAAGAATAAACCAAGCTTTGCATAAAACAAGCACATATTTATAAACACACATACTCTTTTTGCTTCTTACTCAGAGGATCTTACTAAATAATAGTGGGTTTTCTTGTTATTTTAACCTTTTAAAATTTACATTTCTGATTATTTATCAAAGAGCATTTACTGATCATCATGTTTCTTGTCTGTGAATTGCCAACTTATTTTTGCTCATTTATCTATGGAATTTGTTTTCCTTAATGAATCATAGACATTTAAAAAAATATTCTGACTAAAAATTCTTTGTCAGTTATCTGTAATGCAAACATCTTCTCCAGGTATGTGGCTGTTCTTCACTTTTCTGATGCTTCCTTTTGATTAATTGATGTTTTAAATTTTAATTTTGTTGAATTTATCAATATTTTACACATTTGCTTTTATATATTTTAAAAGAATTTTTCCTCCTGTACGGTTTAAAAAAACAACATGTTCTCCTTTGTTTTCTTTAAAGTTTGCTTTTCACATCTAAGCATTAATCCATTAGAACTGTTTGTTTATATATTGATATGAGGTAGTGATCCAGTGTAATTTTTCCTGTATGGATAACTAAACGACCACAAATGAATAGTCTACATCTACCTCTACGTACCTCAATGTACCTCTGAAACACATTAAGTTTCTATATACCAGTATACCTGGGTAGTCTATTTCTGGGCTTTCTATTCTGTGCTATTGGTCTATTTGTTTATCCCAGTGGTTCTCAACCAAAATCTTTTTTCCCCTCTCCCCCCAGGAGTCATCTGACAATATCTAGAGACATGTTTTGGCAATCTCAAATGAGGTGCTACTAGTATCTAATGGGCAGTGGGCAGGGATGCTGTTAAAAATCCTACAAATTCCCGAACAGCTCCACCCACCTCCCAACAAAGAATTATCTTGTCCAAAATGTCAATAGTGTCACAGCTTAGAATACCTAATCTATCCTTATGCAGTCCTGATTACTATTGTTTTACTTCATTTTTCACATCACAGGTTTTCTGAGTTCTTTCTAGAGCACCAAAAATAACTATATCTCATTCTTTTCATCAACTTTATTGTATGGCTGAACCTAATACAATGAACAGATTCCCTTTTAATAGACATTGAGATGAACAATTTGTTGTTTGTCATTACCAACAATGCTGCAATGAATATCCTTGCCCATAGTCTTTGTACAACTATATTTTTAGGTCAAATTCTTAGAAACAA